TCTATCTATCTATCTATCTATCTGTCTATCTGTCTATCTGTCTACCTATCCGTCTGTCTTTCTGTCTGTCTATCCGTCTTTCTGTCTGTCTATCCGTCTACCTATCTGTCTGTCTGTCTGTCTATCTATCCATCTATCTATCCATCCATCTATCCATCCATCCATCTGTCTGTCTATCTGTCTGTCTGTCTCTGTCTATCTGTCTACCTGTCCGTCTGTCTATCCGTCTACCTATCTGTCTGTCTGTCTCTGTCTATCTGTCTACCTGTCCGTCTGTCTATCCGTCTACCTATCTGTCTGTCTGTCTCTGTCTATCTGTCTACCTGTCCGTCTGTCTATCCGTCTACCTATCTGTCTGTCTGTCTCTGTCTATCTGTCTACCTGTCCGTCTGTCTATCCGTCTACCTATCTGTCTGTCTGTCTCTGTCTATCTGTCTACCTGTCCGTCTGTCTATCCGTCTACCTATCTGTCTGTCTGTCTCTGTCTATCTGTCTACCTGTCCGTCTGTCTATCCGTCTACCTATCTGTCTGTCTGTCTCTGTCTATCTGTCTACCTGTCCGTCTGTCTATCCGTCTACCTATCTGTCTGTCTGTCTACCTACCTGTCTGTCTGTCTATCTATCCGTCTATCTATCTATCCATCCATCTATCTGTCTGTCTATATATCTATCCATCTATCTTTCTTTCTATCTGTCTACCTGTCCGTCTGTCTATCTGTCTACCTATCCGTTTGTCTGTCTATCTATCCGTCTGTCTGTCTGTCTATCCGTCTGTCCGTCTGTCCGTCTGTCTGTCTGTCTCTGTCTTTCTTTCTGTCTGTCTATCTATCTATCTATCTGTCTACCTATCCGTCTGTCTATCTATCTATCTATCTATCTATCCGTCCGTCCGTCCGTCTCTGTCGATCCGTCTTTCACTTTTTACTCTTATTACTTGCACAATAACCTGATTTCAACACTGGATACATCAAGCATCCATATACACAAACTGAAGTGAAGTGGAATTAAGTCGAGTAACGCTGTAAAGCTGAAGGTCAGCAGCATCACCTCTTCACTCATGGTGGCTGAGAACAGCATGGTCTGTCTCTGATAGGAGCACATCCTGATGATCTCCTTCATCTGCTCCTCGAAGTACTCGTCCAACATCCTGAGCCAAAGACACACGTCTAAATAACCAGCAAAGCACTGAGCAAGTCTGAGCAGTAGCTCTAGGAGTCTGGCTCTCACCGGTCGGCCTCGTCCAGGATGAGGATCTCGATCTGACTGAGCTCAAACGAGGGTGTGTTGTGCAGGTGGTCGATCAGGCGTCCCGGTGTGGCGATCAGGACGTCTGGCCCCGCCCTCAGTGCCGCCTCCTGAGACTTCAGGTCCAACCCACCTGACAGACACATCACAAACCTCTCACAATACTTCCCGCCTTCAATTCTAACAGTATATCCAAGTGTCTTATTTTAACATGTGAAAGAGAGAATTAACCCTCTAAGCGCCAAAGTCGCAAAATTGCGACAAGACGTCATCATTTTTCCAAAAAAACCCTGGCGCCTAAAGGGTTAAAGCAGCAGCGCCGGTCTTAATCTGTGCTGTTATTTTTAACTAAAACTATATAATAAAAAAAAATAAAAAAAATTATATATATATATATATAACAAATAAAGCTGAAATAAAAACTTAATTATTAGATTAAAAACTTGAAATAAATGAAATCTTGACAAATAAACTAAATTAAATAAGTTGAAGTTGAAGTACTAACATTACTAAACCAAAAACTGAAATAAAGATGAAATAATACAGAAATATGTATAAAAAATAATGTATAATAAAATTAGCACATAGAATTGCTAAAACCTAAAAAAAGAAATAAAATAACACTATTAAGATGAAAAACTCACCAAAACGCACCATTTCTAATGTTTTTTTTCTAACTAAAATTAATTTTATTAAAAGTACTACATTTTTTAAGTTTAGGTTGAAGTACTAAAATTATATATGAAAAAAAAACTTAAATAAAATTAAAAATATATATAAAAAAAGACAAAAGCACATAATTACTAATACTTTAAAACTAAAACATTTTAAAACAAGTTGTTTAAAAAATAAATTAAGCTAAAAAAATATTAAATGAGAAAAACTTAATTAGAAAGTTCACTTGACAACTAAAGAGGTGGGGGGGAAAAAAAAAAAAGTTAAATAGAAATGTTTAAAAAAAACATGAAATAAAAAATGTTTTAAAAATGTAATAAAAATGCCAAGAGCACATTATACAGTATTACTCAAACTAAAATAAATAAATAAGTTTAGGATGAAGTACTAATATTACTAAAACAAAAACAAATAAAAATTTAGAAAAATATAAAATACAAAAATGACAAAAGCACAATTGTATATTAAATTGTTGTATAATATTTTTATATTAAATATACAAATCAAAATTAATTCAACATGTGAATGAATACTACAGAAAATGAATCCTACTAAAGCAGCAGGGCTCTTACCCACAGCCAGGCAGGTGCTGATGCTGGTGAACTGAGCCAGCTGGCGGGAGACGGAGTGCACCTGGATGCCCAGCTCTCGGGTCGGCACCAGAACCAGCACACGCGTCACCTGCGTCTCTCTGGGCTTGTAGATCAGACGCTCCAGCACCGGCAACATGAAGGCTGCCGTCTTTCCTGAGACACAGACAGAGAGGCGTCGAAGCGCGTCACATCCATCCTCATTCATTAACAGAAAAAGCCATATTCATTCTTTCTTTCTGGTCAAATCAAACAGACAGAAGTCTCACCAGTGCCAGTGGCGGCACATGCACAGATGTCTTTTCCCAGCAGCCCCACAGGGACGCAGGCTTTCTGAATGGGAGTGGGCTGCTTAAAGCCCATAGTAGTGATGGCCTGAACAAACACGAGGAAAACACTTCAGAAACGCTGTGCATCCTCTACTGAAGGCCCATGTTACATCATATGGTGCACAGTTTTATTTGGATGCAAATGATGTTTCTCAGCTGATAACGGACCGTTAAAACATTTAAAATGTAATGCAAAAGGGGTCACTTATTCACACCACATGCACATCTCAAGAAATTCTCCAGGTCATTGTCATCAAAGCACTTGTACAAGCTACAGTAATTCGTTACACTGCAGCCTAAACTAACATTACTACGTCAAAAATGACTGAGAAGCACTAGAAAATGATAACTTACATTGGTGCATATACATTAAAACTATATTATATGACATTATCAGAACTCGTTTATCGAAATTTTGTAATGTTTGCTCATCAAGGCTGCATTAATTTGATAAAAAATTAAGTAAAAACAGTAAATCAGTATCATTACTGCAGTCTTCAGTGTCACATGATCCTTCAAAAATCAATCTAAGATGCTGATTTGCTGCTCGAGAAACATTTGTGACCCTGGACCACAAAACCAGTCATAAGGGTCAATTTTTATGAATACATAAGCTTTCCATTGATGTATGGTTTGTTAGGATAGGACAATATTTGGCTGAGATACAACTATTTGAAAATCTGGAATCTGAGGGTGCAAAAAAAATCTAAATATTGAGAAAATCATCTTTAAAGTTGTCCAAATGAAGTTCTTAGCAATGCATATTACTAATCAAAAATTAAGTTTTGATATATTTACAGTAGGAAATTAACAAAATATTTTCATGCAACATGATCTTTACTTAATATCCTAACAATTTTTGCCATAAAAGAAAAATCAATAATTTTGACCCATACAATGTATTTTTGGCTATTGCTACAAATATACCCCAGCGACTTAAGACTGCTTTTGTGGTCCAGGGTCACATTTCTGATTATTATCAAGACATTATAAATGTCTTTACCATCACTTTTGATCAATTTAATGAATCCTTGCTTAATAAAAGTACTAATTTATTTAAAAAATAAAAACCTGACCCAAACTTTTGGAAAAAAAAAAAAAGTACTGAAGTGATGGTTATTTTCAGAAAATAAAAACGTAATTTAAGATTTAAAAAAATAAACAATACAAAGAACATAAAAGGCTGAAAAGCATCACACATGCATGTGACGTCAGACTCGCCTTCAGTAAAGGTCTGGACAGATTCATGTCCTGGAAGGTGAGGTTCTCATCATACTGCGAGGCGTCTTCAAAAAATGCTTCAGACTGGAAGAGAGCGAGAGAGAGAGCGAGAGAGAGAGAGAGAGAGAGAGAGAGAGAGAGAGAGAGGAGTAAAACACTGAGCAAACCTCCAGAACATCCCAAACACAGAAATATAACAGAGAGAATCCCTTCACACCATAAACAACAGCAGCAGCTCAACAGAACCGAGCCATACTCACAGTTTCTGCTGTTTTCCTCTTGCCTTTCTTCTGTTTTTCTCTCAAAGTGTCTGTAAGAAAAGAGAGAGGATGAAATATAGCAATTCATTTGAGTTTCCACTCTTTTCTTCGCTTTTCAAATGGCTTGTAAAAGTGCCGTGCGCATTTTACTTTCACTTTCAAAGTGACGCAATTCGGCGTCAAGCAATTGTTCATTTGAGTTTTCCCTCTTTTCCTCGGATTTCTTGGCTTTCAAATAGCTTGAAAAAGCGCCGTGCGCATTTTACTTTCACTTTCAAAGTGACGCAATTCGGCGTCAAGCAATTGTTCATTTGAGTTTTCCCTCTTTTCCTCGGATTTCTTGGCTTTCAAATAGCTTGAAAAAGCGCCGTGCGCATTTTACTTTCACTTTCAAATTAGCTGCAATTCGACGTTGATTCAATTCAAGCAACAACAACGTCAATCTCAGAACTTTTATTAACAAAACGAATAAAAATACACCATATATGCCAAACAGGCGCCTTTGCATTTCCTTTCTAAACAATCTTTTGCCATCGTCTTGTCTTTCTCACCTCACTCTTGTCAGTCAGCTCGACTCACTCTCCTCACCTGATAAATAAAATCTGACTCCTTCTCCGTGGAGCACTGTCGTTCGTGCACGGTTCGGCACGGAGCATTGAGCGTTTAGTTTTTAAGGGTCTGTCCTCTAACTGAACTAGGCTAAATGATTTTTGTTACTATAAAAAAAATCTAAACGACGGTGGGGGGCGGTGCTGCGGTAACCGAAAACACCGTCTATCGCAGCAAGCCTAGTGGTGACTGTGTCAAATTGATGTACATATAGCAGAAATGTACGGAAAAATTCAGTTAATGACGTAATCAAACAGACGATGAACACTAGTAACAGCAATGATTATGTTGCAATCAAACTTGTAGCAAAATTTGGTAGTTTATGTTGTTTCAGTGTTTTGATTGACTGTCAATACACACCTGCTTTTTTGAGCACCTCTTCATCACCTGATGAGAACTCATCTTCATCTACCTCATCATCATCATCATCTCCACCGGATTCTTCATCGTCGTCATTTTCATCTTCTTCTTTATCATCATCCTCTTCATCATCATTGTCATTTTCCAGTTTAGAGGCTGAAGCTTCTGTTTTCTTGCTTACTTTTTGAGTTTTTTCCTGCAAATACAAACAAACATTTCAGAAACATTTTAGTTCAACTTCAAATTTTATGTCACATACACAAAACCATAAAATAAAGAGTGGCATATGAATAACATTTTAAAAGATATCTGGTGGTCAAAACTTTGGAAGATTTAAGTCTTAAGGCTGCATTTATTTAATCAAAGATACAGTCAAAATTATGAAAGAATTTTACAATTTAAAATAACTGTTTTCTATGTGAATATATCATAAACTGTAATTTATTTCTGTGATCAAAGCTGAATTTTCAGCATCATTACTCCAGTCTTCAGTGTCGCATGATCTTCAGAAATCATTCAAGAGACATCAACAAACATTTTCAAACTACAAAAGAAACTTCTTTCAAAAACATAAAAAATGAGGCTGCATTTACTTGATCAAAAATACAGTAAACACAGTAATATTGTTTAATATTATTACAATGTTTTCCATTTGAATGCTGAACATATCGGCTTACCTCAATTTTGCGCTTTTTCCGCACTTTCTCGATCTTTTCATCCAGAGTAGTGGGCGCTTTCTGGAAAAGCGTTCAGGAGGGAAGAAGATTATTCACCGTGACTAACGTGATCAACAGCCCTGAAATGCGAAGTGAGAAGGTGCATCCCAAATCGAGTACTTATGCACTATTCTATGACGTTTAGTAGTATAAATAGTGCGAGTAGTGCGTTCACACTGAAAATTCCAAAAAGAAAAAGTGCACTTTAAATACCCGGATGATGCACTTAACCGAAAAAATTAAGTGTGTAATGTTGGACACTTCATGCACTCAATTGTCGCAGCTTTAATTACGTACCGAAGGGGGAGGGGCTATGAGACTCCGATTATGAATGACAAAATAACTTTATATAATTCATACTATACATGGTTGAGTACATAGTGCATAAGTACATAGTGTATGAGTGCATTGTGCGTCATTTGGGACGCAGCTAGAGTCCCACTCACTCTCTTCTTGAGCTGCGCCATCACGTCTGCCATGGCCCAGTCCTCGCTGTACAGTCCTTCCCGCTCGCCGAACTCAAAACCTGCGCTGAACTCTCCAGCGCCACGGCCCTTCAGAGCGCGCTTCTGCTTACTCAACACGATGGGCTGCTCCTGAAGATACACACCACCATCAGCTCACTTTAACAGCCTTAACATGGTGCACTGATGGTATTAGACGCCAATACTATGGTACTTCGAAAAACACCATTCATCTGCTGTGGTATTTGCATGTAAGGGCTGCACGATAAATCGAAATGCGTATCTTTCAGTGAAGCAAGGTTCTGTGATCAGCAGTAAATCTCCATCCAAAGGCCAGAGAGCGCTCTCGCACTGAAACTCCAAATACGCCTCGCAGAAGAAACCCAGAAAATGCCTATCGCTGCAGCTGAATAAACAGAAGATTTAACTTTTATTGATTCAACATGACTAATAAACACACGACTATGGCAATACACGGTTTATCTGAGTTCTTATTATTATAATTTTCATTAAAATAAAGTATATTTATAATGCAATGCCTTTATCACTGCTTAAATACTATGAAATATGTTGCGTGCCTTATTCTGTGTAAGAAGCCACATCATCTCACAGAAGGATTTATTTCAAACACTCGACTGACGTTATGAAGTGAGTTTGGAGTAAAAATATGTTATTAAATGTGGTGCTTTCACATGCTTTCAGATGGAGCAGCATTTACTTCACAGAGCCGTAGTTCGCTGAGAAGCTACGCAAACAGCTGTCATTATCGCGAACGATTTCTTCGATTTCAGAATCACGCAATAAAATCGTCTGCGATTTTTTTGTGTAACTTGTCAGTGAACTACGGCTATGTGTAGTAAATGCTGCTCCATCTGAAAGCACGTGATGATGATTTCCTGCAGATTACAGAACCGGCTTTACTAACAAAATGCGCATGACAATCGCATTCGATTAATCGTGCAGCCCTATTGCATGGTGCACCAATGTACCTCCAAGAAAACCATGGTAAATGTTCATCAATCAGCATACTATAGTAATACCACTCGACATGACCAAAACACCATGGTAGTACCATGTTAAAAAAAAAAAAAAAAAACTTTTTGGTGCATGAATGACAACCATACTCATATACCATGGTACTCCAAGACACTTATACTATGGTATTACCAATGTGCAGTCCAAATTCTACAATAGTATTAACATGGTATCATGGTTTGTGCTAAAAAAAAAAAAAGTCCAAAAACACAGTATTGCCATCAAGCATGTACACAAAAAAAAAGTGGTGATAGAATGGTATTGATCAAAAAAAAACAAAAAACACTCAAAAACACAGGACTGACATGGTATGCAAAACATGAAATTACCACAGTATGAGGTTCAAAACACAGTATTACTATGGTATATCAGCAAGTAACATCGTATTATTATGATGCACAATGCACATAAAAAACATGGTATTACCATAGTATGACACTCAAAACACCGTATTATTTTGATATACCACTAGATAAAAGAGTATTATCACGATGCACATAAAAACTTGCCATTACCACAGTATGAGGCTCTAAATACGGTATTACTATGGTATATCATATCATTGCTCTTTTGTTGATTTTGATTGCTTCCATTGTCCTCATTTGTAAAGTCGCTTTGGATAAAAGCGTCTGCTAAATGACTAAATGTAAATGTAATATCAACAGACTCAAAACTAGCGCTGTCAAATGATCACAATTAATCGCACACAAAAAAAGGTTGTGTATTGTGTATATTTATTATGTATATATAAATACACACACATACAGCATATATTATGTAAACAAAAACTTTCATTTTGAATGCGATTAATCGCGATTAATCGTTCGACAGCGCTACTCAAAACACGGTACTACCACGGTACATCCTTAAACAACGTAGTACCATGATGATGCACATCAAAAAACGTGGTTTTACCATAGTATAATGATCAAAACATAGCACTACCATGGTACAACCTCAAACAATATAGTATTACCATAATGCACACCCCAGAACATAATAGAACAACAGTATAAAGTTTAAAACATAGTACTGCCATGGATTCAACATTAGATAACATGCTGCACATCAAAAAACGTGGTTTTACCAGGCTCAAAACACAGCACTACAATGGCACATCGTCAAACAACATCATTTAGCATGGTACTTTACACCTCGAAACATGGCATTACCACGGTACATTCTCAAACAACATAGTATCACCACAATACAGGCCAAAGGAAAAACATGATGACACTAAGATAGCAGTAAAGTGAACTTACGGCTTCATCGTCAGACGCTGAGTCCGGATCCTCAGGACCTTCATCATTATCATCGATAGTTCTGATCAGATCCAGATCTGAAAACATCTTTGTGCCGCACTCGCAAAATAAACTTCACACACTCCTTATTAAAACACGTGCGTCGCTGAAGCAGCGGATCTGCGTCATTCTCTCACGGCTCTTGATCAGCGGCTGCGGCGGCCTCATGAGAGCACACTGACATCTAGCGGCGCGGAGGACGAGACCGCTGCTGCGGACGCCTCTTCTTCTCCTTCGTAAAGGGGTCATATGACGCGATTTCAAGTTTATAATGATCTTTAAAAAAGCATCATATGACCCCTTTAATAAAGCAAGTTATTTCAACACAAAATTATACGATTAAAATTATATGAAGTCAGTTAAGACTGCAGATGACTGCATATGTACATTAAAGGGTCTCTGAACACAAAATATGATTAAAACAAACAAACAAAAAATAAATATTGGAAAATGGCATCTCAGGAACCGCACGCCAGTGGTTTGAGTCTTACCTCTCAGATAGGTCCTTCAAGGTCTACCTCTCATTCCATCCTGATGATCCGACGACAGCTGCTCGCATCTCAGCATGTCTGACAGACATTTCTTGTTGGATGATGGACCATCACCTTCACCTCAACCTGGCTAAGACAGAACTGCTTGTGGTTTCAACAAACCCATCACTTTATCAAAATTTCACCATCCAGTTAGGCTCATCAACCATAACTCCTTCAAAAACAGCTAGAAACCTTGGAGTTGTGATTGATGATA